TGTCTGAAGTTCTGTCTTTTTAATTTACGTTGTATTTTAGGTAAAAATGCTAATGCCCAGGAGAGGAAGGCTGCAATGAAAACAGCTGAAGAATTCCTACAGCAAATGAATTATCCCACCAATACCCAAGTATGTGTGAAAATGAAATGGCTAGAAAAAACTTTAAAGCACGGGAGCTCATGACATCTCCACAAAATTTATGAAAAAAACTGGTTTATGTATATGAAGTCATGTATATGTAGTCATTCTCCACTTGAATGTGTGCAATCTTATGTCCCATGTCCCTAGTACTTTACCTGTGTGGAGGATAGAATTTTGCAGAAACTGGAGATCAGGCCTTCCACAGGGCCGCCCTCCCATTCACTTCCTCCACAGTCTTTCATTCAAGATAATAAACTACAGTTGAATTAACTAAGAGCACTTATCGGTTATGCCTTAGAGCAAGTTGTGCAGACCCAGATAATATTTGTCTTCATCAAGATCAACTTAGACACCGGCTAATTACTCTTTTCCTTTCTGAATCTCTCAGCCTCATCTACTCTCTTCATTTTTATGTCCTGACACAATGAGATAATTTCTTCCGGGTCACAGATCTCTTGTGAACCTAATGTAGAAAGACAGACTTATTTGACTGCGGTGGTAAGATATGAAAGAACTTTATTTTTATTTCAAACATTCAAATTCAGTGGCAATTACTTTAGCTTTGAGGAAAAACATGGTTGTATTATTTTAGCTTCATAGCTTCTAAGTTTTACATCTGTAATCACAGAAACCATTATAATCTTTTCATTTCCTTGGTACTTTCTCCACTACTAGATTCATATTTTTCCCTCAATCTCTTATTTTTCTGTTTATTATTATCATTATTTTAAATTTCAGATTCAAGTTCTTCCAGAAGGAGGCGAAACACCAATCTTCAAACAGTTCTTTAAGGACTGGAAAGATAAAGATCAAAGTGATGGCTTCGGAAAGGTCTATGTCACAGAGAAAGTGGCTCAAATAAAACAAATTCCATTTGATGTTTCAAAATTACATAGTTCTCCGCAGATGGCAGCACAACACAATATGGTGGATGATGGTTCTGGCAAAGTGGAGGTATTTACCTGTTTCCGTTTTGTTTTTATCAAGCCCATTTAAGCCAGTTTATGTAGAAATATTAAAATAACTTCAGGAAACTACAAACATTTTAAAATGTGAATTTTGCTTAGTAATAAAGGTGGTCCAAGACTATATACTAACACAGAATTTAAAGCTGGAAGATGTGTTATCTGACCTTCATCCCATTTTACCAATGTCTATGGTGAGAGCCCAGAAAGTGAAATTTGTGGAAGACCACCTATTAATCATCTTAGAGACTTGACGTGGAACCCAGACATTTGGTTACCTGGTGGAGAACTGTTCTTTCTCTGGAAAAGTCCATGTTTGGGATTGTCCATTAAGGGTGTGCCAACTGCACCATCCACTGTCAGTTTTTCTTTCCCCCACACATGGGGGGAATTCATGAAAGCAAATTGGTCATGAGTATGTGCTAAAAACACAGATATTTTTAGAGCATTGGAATTGAGTTTGTTGATTATTCCATTTTAGGCAGACATTGCTAAAAATCCCATAATCGTTCTCCCTAAATCATACTCAATCCACTCTTGAATCGTCTAGCTTAATGAGAACTGGATGATGTCACTCTACATTTTAAAATATTTTGATGGTTCCCACAGCTTTCCTGAAAACATCCATCTTCACCTAGGCCAGCGAGGCCTTCCATGATTTGACCCTTGCCCTCCTCTCAGCTTCACCACTCTTCCGCTCTGCCATCTGGCTAATGTTCCCACACTTCCTTGGCAACTCAGTTAAATCACAGGCCACACTCTGAGAAGGCTTTCCTCAGAGCTGAAATGACCTTTCTTTGTGCTCAACCGATAGTGATATTTTTCACAGAATTTATCATATAAGTGCCACAGAATTGTTCCTTTACTTACATGTTTCTCTCGTCAGTCCCTTGAGGACAGGAATTAAATAGTTTATAGTTCTAGGTCTTAGCACAATGCTTAGACCAAAGTATATGGTCAAGAAATTTGGGAAATAATTTTTCCTCTTTTCAAAGACATGAGTGTGATTCTAACGTGCACAGAGGTTGGGGAGTGGGACATGCCAGGGGAGAAGGTCACAAATGTCCCTCATGGCTGTTGTGGGAGGGATTATAAACTTCCAGGTGTGGGTCTGGCTCCTGCTCTGACATCCTTTCTGGAGCTCAGCACAGATGACACAGCCAGAGGGCTCTCGTGGCAGGCTTGGTTCCCAGCATTGGTTATGTCCCAGCTGCAATCCCCATCTCAGACCACAGCATCTCTGAAAAGTCCTCCTGTGCCACCCTAGGGCTGCTGAAATTTGGGGGCTCTCTCTAGGCTCTTGGGTGTAAGGAGGCCACACTGTCATTTCTCCTCCACTCACTGGAATGGTGTAGAAAGGCATCTCTGTGACAGCACTGCACTGCTGCTCTCCGCGGGCTCCTCCCAGATTTCAAAACAAAAGATGTGCCCTGCCGCTCCCCAGGACCCAGGAAGGAGGAGGTGTGTGTGCGCACAGGTGTGCACACACAGTGCCTAGCAGCCTCTCACTCATTTGTTATTCTCCTGTTTCACCTACAATTCTCCTCTCTGCAATTTAGAGAGTCTTTAATCTGTAATGAAGACGATGAGATGGAATAAGTGTGGTTCTGTCTGCTTTTATCCCTTGATGTTTGTTTTCAATCTTATGCCTGGATGGCACCTTTTAAAAATAAAAGTCATGTTCTTGGCATCTACCTTAGCCTATTCAGGCTGCTATGAAAGAAATACCGCATAGACCAGGGGCTTAAACAACAAGCATTTATTTCTCACAGTTCTGGAGGCTACCAAGTCCAAGATCAAGGTTTTGATGGGTTCCGTGCTTGGTGGCAGTCCACTTCTTGGTTCATAGATAGCTGTCTTTTTACTGTGTCCTCACATGGTGGAAAAGGAGCTTGAGAGTTCTCTGATTATCGGGGCACTAATCCCATCATGAGGACTCTACCCTCATGACTTTGTTACCTCCCAGGGTCTGTATCTCCTAATACCATTGCATTGGGGGTCAGGATTTCAACATGAATCTTGGGGGAACTTGAACATTCATTCCATTGCAACGTCGTTATTATTTGGTCACAGTCTACCAATTCTCACCTAGGAAAATAATAGTCTCATGTATTACAGCACAAGGAAAAAGAAAAAAAAATGCTATTTCACAACTGATGAAAACATTTTTCTATAAAGTTGAGATATATTTCTGAGCTAAATATTGCAGCTTTTTATTCCACTAGAATGGTTATTTTCACTGATGTATCAAACAATATACATAACAATATATATTTATTAATCAACAGGCTCAGAACTGAGCTGTAATAAATATTATGGAGAAAGCAAAAGAAATATAAAAGCACTTAAAAAAGTCAACAAATTGTCAAATTGATAAAAATTTATTTCCTTTGCTTAATTTGTAATCTAGTTAAAAAATAATTTAAAAGTTGTTTAATGTTAGATTTGAGCCAAAAATTATTTAAAGCTTATGAAAAGTATTATTAGATCAAGAAAATTTTAATTTTGTATGTATATTTCATTTCTTTCAGATTTGGCGTGTAGAAAGCAATGGTAGGATCCCAATTGACCAAGACTCATATGGTGAATTCTATGGTGGTGACTGCTACATTATACTCTACACTTATAACAGAGGACAGATTATCTACACTTGGTAAGTTTACTTCTAGCAAAGATCTCACGTTCCACAGGGGCCAGATATTACTCCAAAGTATTAAATTCCATGCAGTATGGGGCAAAATAATCATATAGTTACCCCAGAGAGATTTGTGTAGCGTGCATGTAGTATTTCCCTTTGACATGATTTTGACTATGTTTGTAGCTGCTGTCCACAAGCAGGAGGAGTTACATAAAAATCATCCTATTGAGTCTAGGAAAAAAGTTTTACTGTCCTAAACAGTAATGTTCTCGTAGTGGATTTGTAGTTGAATATCTCATCTTATATGCAGGGTAACACTCCAGTGTCAAGTGTTGGGTACTATGTCTTCTTATTGTAAAATTCGCAGAGGTCCATCCTTACTGAAGCTGCCAAGGTGCAATGAGGCAAACCCTTTAGGGGATATGATTTGGGATTCCATTCCATACTCCAGAGACCTCAAATTGATGCATCCTTATTCTTTGCTTACATTAAATTCACAATAATGGAGAAAATATGCCATCGTATACACATCTTACATGGTTTTGCATAATGACTTGAGTTAATTGAAGTTTAGGTTTACTTAGAGTCAATAACACTCTACTCAAAGAGGAAATAGCCAGATGTCCAACCAAGTAATTTAAGGGTCTACACCAAGATGGGCTATTTCAAGGGATAGGGATTCTGCAACAAATCATATAAGGTGTAATTCTCTTTTTATTAAGCAAATTAGGTAAAATAGAATATTGTTATGAAGACTGAAAAAAAGAATATAATTCTCAAAAAAGATCTTAAAGCTGAGAAATGTGGGTGGAAGTTACAAGGCCAGGGCAAGATACTACCTTAGCCTACATGGTGATGGCAGCCTTTAATAGGCGTATTGGATATACACATATTCAGGCAGGGCTCTACTGACATGGTGATTTTTCTCTTTGGTGAGCCTCATATGCGAAATATTCATTCCCATGGTCTGGCCATGTACACTGCTCAGTGCCTTTGAGCCCCAACCAAGTTCAGGAGATGGGATGATACCCAAAGGGTGGTCTGGAAACCAGAAACATCACTGTCACGTGGGAGCTTGTTAGAAATGGAGACTCTCAGGCTCCACCTTTGACCCACTAAAGTAGAACCTACAGTATAGCAAAGTCCTCAGGTGATTCATAAGTACTTTAATGATTGACAGGCACAGCCT